CCTCCGCCTCCACCTCTTCCTCCAGCTCCGAGAATATCGGTTCCGAAAGAATTAAAAAGCTTAGGAGCTGTAGAATTTAAAGGCGAAGCAAACGAAGGTCCAGTAGAAGCAGATATGTGGTTGAATGATGTGAAAATAATGTTGGACAGTCTTCACTGTTCCGATGATGAAAGATTAGAGGGAGTAGTTTCATTATTACAAGGTCAGGCTCGTATATGGTGGACGAACGTGACGAAACGTGTTCCTCCAGATCAGATCATATGGCGGTTTTTCTTAGAAGCATTTCAGAAGAAGTATATTGGAGAGCAATTTATTACTCAGATGAAGCATGATTTCTTTAATCTGATTCAGGGTGGTAAATCGGTGTACGATTATGAATGTGAGTTTAATAAACTTGCTCGATATGCCTCAGAGATGATTCCTACTGAAAGAGACATATGTCAGAAATTTATTCGAGGTCTTCGTCCCAGACTCAAGGAACTTCTGTTGGCTGCAAACTTGACCACTTTTCAAGAAGTAGTGAACAAAGCAAAAGATTTGGAAATGGCACAAAATGAGAATTTTCTGATAGAGCAGAGACGACAGTCTAAAAGATCCGGAGCATCATCATTTTTTCAGTCTAAAAGAGGTCGAGGTTCCGGTTATCGATATCAAAATAAAACTGAAAGTGGTGCTTCTAGTCGTAAAGGATTTGAGGCAAAAGAAAAAGGTCGACAGACTCATATGACAGTTTCAGGAGCCAGTAGATCAGCTTGATCACAGGATCAAATATTGCCATGTCAGTATTGCGGTAAAAATCACCCTGGAGTTTGTAGAATGAAGACTGGAGCTTGTTTCCGTTGTGGAGATACCAATCACTTTGTCAGAGATTGCCCTTTAATTGGGGAGAGACCAGTGCAGACAGAAAGGTCTGTAGCAGTATCTCAGAGAGGCAGTAGAGGCAGAGGTAGAGAGAGGGGATATTCTGAGACAGCCTCCCAGTCTAACGTTCGTGCTCCAACGAGAATTTATAACATCAAGACTAATGATGATCGTGACGACCCAGAGATCATAGCAGGTATTTTCTATCTTTATGATGAGTCTACATTTGTTTTGATTGATCCGGGTTCTACGCGTTCCTATGTTAGCTCGGAATTAGTTAAAAATAAGAATATTCCGTTAGAACCCATCAATAGTGATATGATAGCTATAAATCCACTGGGTCATAGTGCTAGAGTCACAAGGATTAGCAGAAATTGTCCGCTAAAGATTCAAGGGGTTATATTCCTAGCGAATCTTTTGGAGTTACCGTTTGATGAGTTTGAGATTATATTGGGCATGGATTGGTTATCTCGGCATTATGGTTGGGTAGATTGTCTCATGAAGTGATTATTTATAAAGGATGCAGAGGGTACCGAGATAATAGTAATTAGAGAAAAAGCGGGGTCTTCGCCTAATGTAATATCAGCCTTTACGACAATGAAAATGATGGAAAAAGGTTGCACAACTTTCTTAGCAAATGTGCTCGATACCCGGACATCTGAAATTTGATTAGAGAATATTCCGATAGTTTGAGAATTTTCAGATGTATTTTCTGATAATTTACCCGGATTACCTCCTGATCGAGAAGTGGAGTTTAAAATTGAAGTTTTCCCGGGTACATCTCCTATTTCAATGGCTCCATATAGGATGGCTCCAACGGAACTCAGAGAACTAAAGGCGCAATTACAGGAGCTATTAGATCGAGGTTTTATTAGACCTAGTGTATCTCCTTGGGGTGCACCAGTACTTTTTGTTAAAAAGAAAGATGGCTCGATGCGATTATGTATAGATTATCGTAAATTGAATAAGGTGACAGTGAAGAATAAATACCCTCTTCCGAGGATCGATGATCTGTTTGATCAGCTCAAGGGTGCTTCAGTATTTTCAAAAATTGATCTTCGATCAGGGTATCATCAGCTAAAGATAAAAGAGGAAGATATTCCAAAGACGGCTTTCAGAACTCGATATAGTCATTATGAGTTTGTTGTGATTCCGTTTGGACTAACCAATGCTCCAGCAGCATTTATGGATTTGATGAATCGAGTCTTTCAGCCATATTTGGATCAATTTGTGGTTGTGTTCATTGATGATATTTTGGTGTATTCTAAGACTATGAAAGAGCACGACACACATCTCTGTATCGTACTTCAGATATTACGAGATAAAAAGTTATATGCTAAATTATCAAAATGTGAATTTTGGCTGTCAGAGGTCGCCTTTCTGGGTCACGTGATTTCAGCATAAGGAATTAGAGTGGATCCTAAGAAAATACAAGCGGTAGTGGAGTGGAAACCTCCAAAAAATGTTTCTGAAGTCCGAAGTTTCTTGGGGTTAGCTGGATATTATCAGAGATTTGTGAAGAATTTTTCAATAATTGCATCTCCACTTACCAAACTACTTCGAAAGGATGTACCATTCGTTTGGAATGAAAAGTGTCAAGAAAGTTTTGAGAAGCTTAAAAAGATTCTGACTGAGGCACCGGTATTAGTGCAGCCAGAGTCAGGAAAAGATTATGTAATCTACAGTGATGCATCCCATAATGGTTTGGGATGTGTTTTAATGCAAGAAGGTAAAGTGGTAGCCTATGCTTCAAGGCAGTTAAAGACGCATGAACGGAATTATCCAACACATGATTTGGAGCTAGCAGCTGTAGTGTTTGCTCTAAAAATATGGCGCCACTATTTATATGGTGAGCGATGTTATATTTATACAGATCATAAGAGTTTAAAATATTTGCTCACTCAGAAAGAGTTAAATCTAAGACAAAGAAGATGGATTGAGCTTCTCAAAGACTATGATGTGATTATTGATTATCATCCTGGGAAGGCTAATATGGTAGCTGACGCACTTAGCCGAAAAACCTTTGCTGCTATGAGAGCGTTAGATGCATGACTATCAATGGAAGATGATGGTGCATTGATTGCAGAATTGAGATTGAGACCCGCCCTATTGAATCGTATCAAGGATATTCAGAATAAAGATAAGAAGTGTTTAGATAGAATGAAGCAAGCAAAGAAATGAGAAATGACAGATTTTGAAATTAAGTCTGATGGATGTTTGTATTATCGGAATCGAATTTGCATACCCGATGATGAAGAACTGAAGAAAGATCTTCTTTCTGAAGCTCATTATAGTCCTTTGACTATGCATCCAGGAGGAAACAAAATGTATCAAGATTTAAAGAGTCGGTATTGGTGGGCAGGTATGAAAAGAGCTATCACTGAGTTTGTTTCTAAATGTCTAACCTGTCAGCAGGTAAAAGTAGAACACCAAGTACCTTCGGGGTTGTTGCAACCTATCTCAATTCCTCAATGGAAATGGGAACGAGTTACCATGGATTTTGTGACAGGTTTACCTTTGACACCTAGTAAGAAAGATTCGATCTGGGTGATATTGGATAGTTTGACAAAGACATCACACTTTATCCCAGTTCGAGAAGATTATTCTATGAACAAGTATGCTGAGTTATATATCAGAGAAATAGTACGACTTCATGGAGTACCCATTTCGATAGTTTCCGATAGAGATCCGAGATTCACTTCAAGATTTTGGAAGTCCTTGCATGAGGCATTGGGAACCAGACTAAATTTCAGCACATCTTATCATCCTCAGACAGATGGTCAATCTGAAAGAACTATTCAGATACTTGAAGATATGCTAAGGGCGTGTGTTATTGATTTTAAAGGATCGTGGGAAAAGTATTTACCTTTAGCAGAGTTTGCTTATAATAACAGTTATCAATCAAGTATCAAAATGGCTCCTTTTGAAGCGTTGTATGGAAGAAAATGTAGAACACCACTGAATTGGTACGAATTAAAAGATCGAGATGTAATTGGTCCAGATCTAATTAAGGAGATGGAAGACAAAGTGAAAGTAATCCAAGACAATCTCAAGATAGCAGCTGATAGACAGAAATCTTATGCTGATTTAAAAAGAAAAGAGATTGAATATCAAGTGGGTGATAAGGTATTTCTTAAGGTGTCACCTTGGAAAAAGATTCTAAGATTTGGACGAAAAGGGAAATTGAGTCCAAGATTTATCGGGCCATACGAGATTGTAAAGAGAGTTGGACCAGTAGCTTATCAGTTGGCGTTACCTCCAGAGATGGACAAGATTCATAATGTATTTCATGTATTAATGCTTCGAAGATATCGATCAGATCCTTCACATGTAGTTACACGGGAGAAAATTGAGATTCAACCAGATTTATCATACGAAGAGGATCCAGTAAAGATTTTAGCACATGAAGTCAAAGAATTAAGAAATAAGACGATTCCATTAGTAAAAGTACTTTGGCGAAACCATAAAGTTGTGGAATCAACTTGGGAACGAGAAGAAGACATGAAGAAAAAGTTTCCTCATCTATTTAATTTAGGTATGTAAATATATATGGAAAATTCGAGGACGAATTTTATTTAAGGGGGGAGGCATTGTAATACCCCAAAAATTTGACCAGCGACTAAATTGTAAGTTTTGAAAGTTTAGTGGCTAAAGTATAAACTTTGAAAAGTGTAGGGACTGAAATTTGTAATTTTTAAAAGTTATATATTTTAGCCCGTAAATGAACAGTTTGGCCGAAAACAAGGATTTTAGTGGAAATCATATTTTCGGTACGAGATTTGTGTTAAAGGCTATAAAGCGGTAAAGTTCGGTATTGAAATCGAATAATCAGATCGAATCAAAATCTCACAAAAATATTAAGGATGCTAGATAAAGGTTGGAAATATTATTTATATATTTTAGAAAAGTGAAATTTAACATGGATCAATGGAATTAAGGTCGATTTTCCATGTTAAGCCAAAAATTTGGAATTAGGTGACTAAATTGGAATTTTCAAAAATTACAAAGATAAACATGAAAAATCAGAATTTAGATATTTTTCTGGATATGATGAGGTAAGGGATGATGTCATTGAGTGGCATGGATGTAATTTTGAGAATTCATTAATGGTATTTTAGGTTTTTGGCCCAAAATGAATATAAAATTCATTTTTCTAATCATATATTAAAGATAAGGGGGAGATATTTTCTCAAGAAATTTCATGAACTCTTCCCCCTATTCAGCTGCTGTCGGGTCTTCATAGCAAGGTAAGTGTGTTTTATATTTTTTTCCATTTTTGGTTCAATTTATTAGGATTTTGGGCTAAAGTGTGAAATAAGAAATTTACCTACACTATTTTCTCTACAATATGGTATAATTATTTCTTTGTTTCATGTTGATTTATGAAAGTTGTGATTTTGGAGATTGAACGGGAAATGAGAATTCAAAGATATAAGATTGGGATTTTGGTTCTAGGAGTGTAATGGAAGCATGACTAAGCTTGAAAGTGGAAAAAAAATATATTAGAGAGACTAGTTTAGTGATTCAGCTATGAATTTGGTGGGTGAGAACGATAAAATTGATTTGTTTTATTTTGATAAATTTTGAAGAAGCTGAGGTTTGGCTTAGTCTCAGCAGACACTTTTGGGGTTATGAAGAGTTAAGTGATTTTAAAGAATTGGTTGTAAGGATTGATGAAGAATTTAAGGATGAAGTTAATGAAAACAGTTTAGATTTTGAATTTGGCAGTGAGTTTGAAAATTCACCAGAAATTTTATAGTAATGATTAGAATGTTATTTTTATATATTGTGTTCTTATATCAATCTAGTTTTGTTTAAAACAAACGAGGATCAGTTTCAAGGTATATAAAAAAAGATATGAATTTTTAACCGAGGAAAGGTCATAAAAACGGGCAGCAGATTCTGCATAAAACAGATTCTGTCAGTCAACTTTAAAAATTCATCATAAATTGTACAGATTGAATTAGAAGGAGTTATTTATATGGATAGATTCATATTCGAGTCTAGTTTTCAATGGAAGAAACGGAATCAAATTCCAGTGTGTACATTAATACAGAATATTGATTCTTTAAAGATAGCACAAGTTGTCTGAATATGGAAATTTGTAGAATATAAGTTGAAATGGATTAGAAGATGAAGAATAATGTTTAAATGTTGAATATATTTTTGGATGCTTGGAATTGAAGTTAAATGGCAATAGACCATTTTGAATAAATTGGAAATGTTGAGAAGAATTCTAAAAGAATTCATTCTAATGGTTAGATGGTGGAATTCGAAAGGTTCCAAAACTTTGGGGACTTGTTTACAAGTTCTTAAATGAAGAAGTATTATTTGGGTATTTTATTCAAGTTCTGGAATTTTAGTAATTAATGTAAAATTATCATAATGGCGAAGGACCATTATGAATTAAAGGAAAAGTTGAGTTGAATTTTAGAAAGAATTCAAAAATATGTGGTTTGACGTTATAATGGAGTTATGATTTAGGTTGATATCGATTTAGTTATCGATTTTATTTTATAGATTCTCAAATGTCAAAAATGAGCTTATGTTAGAACGATACTAATATGTAGTTTAAACATTTTGTGTTATAATTTCGTATTGTCAGATTTCAATAAAACTAGCAATCCGAACAATCTGAAAGGAAAGGACAAAGCTTGTGACTAGTATTATCGTATACAAGCTCTTAAGTGAGGCAAAGGTGAGTGCAATTTATTTATTTAATTATTTTGATCGAGGACGACTTGCGATAAGTCAACCTCACCTTATTTATTTCAAAGATATGAATTATGTTTTGATTATGAAATTATATCCATAATTTCTTTAATAAGTTTTATGAAAGATTTTGGACATGAACTGTCCATGTCACATTTTAAGAATGTGAATTAAATATATTTTCGACTCTGATATGATGTTTATCAAATGGTTAAGAAATGAACTAAAAGCCCACTGTATGTTATATTGAGAGTCAAAGGTACAATTGGCTTGCCATGAGGTGGAGTGATTATCTGTTCTGATTTTGATATACTGTGGTGTACCGGAGTGTACACTAGTATATATATATATTCTGATCTGAATGCACTTGGTGTGCATATTGTTATTTCCGATGTGATAGCACTATGTGTGTTTATATAATTCCGACAGATGATCTGATATCTGTATTGCGCACACTCGTCTGACTCACGTATCTTATATTCTCTTAAAATATACTTTGGGCTATAAAAATGAAATAAGAAAGTTCTGAAAAGTGTCTGACTACAAAGAATTATAAACTGATTATTCTGTCTGATCCGATTATTTATGATCTTGTGAAAATTATCAGATGATTATTTTCAGGTTTATTATAAAGTTCAACATGAGATATCTGGTTTGAATATTCTGAAGAATTTCAGTCTGTATTATTTTAATGATTTTATATATTTTGATATTTTATTTAATTATTCTCACCTTTAGTATTACTGCCTCACTAAGTTATACTTAGCGCGTGATGATTTTCATGCGTAGGTTCTAGTAAGGATAAGTACGATCGGTAAGGAGCTATCGGAGCATCTTTTGGAAAGACATACATATCATCAGTATCAGTAAGACATCTATGATGTTCCTTTTGACTTATAGTGGCATGTATAATTATGTCAATAGTTTCTAATTATCGTATTTATTTTAAATAAATTGTAATAGTAAACTAGAACTATTTTAGTTTATTTTACTTAGTTTAGTTTTATTGATAACTATGCATGACAAGAATTTATTACATTATTATGTTTTTAAAAGGTTTTACGAAAAGACAGGGTTTAGTAAAATTACTGAATAAATAATGAATTTATTTTCCTGTAATAAAGAAAGAAATTATAATATGAAATATACTTTAAAATAGATTTTTTTTAAGTTAGAACAAGAGTATTTTCAAAGAATTTTTTTTACGGAAATTTCAGTTCAGTAAATGTTTTCAGTTTGATGTGACATCGTTAACTCGTATATCGAGACATATACGGGTTAAGGGTGTTACAGTACATATATGAGAACTATTGATATGTGAGTCTCTAGAGGTTATGCACTAATACTGTCACCACAGCTCATATAAATGCACCGAAGTGCAACGTAGAATTACACTGAAGTGCCGCGTAGAATTGCACAGAAGTGCCATATAAAATGTCCCTAAGGACCACGTAGAAAATTCCTTAAGAATCATATACATATGCAAAGGATCAAGTATATGTCTCAAAAGACATTACACATGTTCCAAGGAATACATATATGTCCCGAAGGATTGCGTAGACCCTCGAATCTTGGCATGCCAACTATACCTCTAGCTCTCAGGACACATAACATGGGCATTAATATTTATGTTATCACACATTAATATATTTACCTAGTCACATAGTTCTTTCACATAGCTCATTGTCACATAAATCACATATCACATATACATATAAACATATGGTTCACTTACGTAGAACATTTTCATATGATTCACATATCACAGAGCTTATCACATAATAATTGTATTCTTTTTCATATAATCACATAGTTATATAATATTTCATATGCCATATACTTTCTCTTTCATATATCTCATGTCATGTATCATATCTTATGATCATGTAATCATGTTACTCATACTCACATAACTTCTACTCATAAGGTTCAACATCATTGAACTTAGTTCACTTTCCATATTATCGTACATTTATATAATCTTATATGTCATATCATTAACCTATAAACTTACTCATATACTCATATAACTATTATCCTTTATCCGGTAATCACATAGATCACATTTTATAACGTACACTATGTACATATAATAACTTATCTCATATCATATAACTTATGGTTTATACTTTTATATTAACATAAATTCTGTAACATATTATAGCCTATAAACATATATCACTTATGCATGTATTCATGTACACATTTTCATATAGTATATATATATAACTCCATGTTTTATATAATTACTTATCTCCCATCATTTATTTACTAATTTCATATATTTACCTAGTTCAGTTTCACATAGCTTATCACATATAAAAGTCTTCTAATAAATTATCATCAAAAGCTCCTATAATATCTCTCTATGGCTTCATAGATTTTTACTATATATCTTATTCATTATAAATTCATTTAAGCCTATAAATCTTTCCCATATAATTTATCTTACATGTTTATATAGTCACTTTCTCTTGTTATCACATAAGTCATTGGTATTTTACATAATTCGTGATCCTATAATTTATATCTCAGGTTCATATAACTCATATAACATTTTCCTATAATACATAAATCATTGCCATATAACACATATCATATAAATTCATACCACATAACAGGTAATTTGAACTAATCATATTCACGTAATATCAAACATAATCATACTTCTAATCATACAATCATATATTCAACATATTGGAAACAGACTTGTCGCAAGTCCAATTTCCATATACAATACATATATTCTAATAATACGCACTCACCTGGCCTCACTAGTCAATACCGATATGTTATCTTTTCCTTGATCAATCTTACTTGCCAAGTTCCGGAACTTGTTTAGGCTCTGTATCTACATAGTAATATATATTGATACTTATCAATATACTAATTAATATATTCTAAACTATCATTTCTAAACATAATTCTCTCATTTCCCACGTGGTTCCCTTATCTTATAAAAGGAATATAAAAATTTTCCTTGTCAAATGACCATTTTGCCCTTTAATTCCTTTAATAATTACTAACAACTTCTAGGAAATATTTCCATATAAATCATTGAACTATTCAATTATTCTACTTTAATCACCAAATTCCGAAACATTTCAATTTGTTCACTAACCTGATATTGAGGATGTTACATGACCCAACCCGAACTCGATTTTTTAAAAAAATCCGACATGATTAGGTCGCATTCTGGTCCCATGCCCATCCTTACCGATAACCCTTCATGACGCTTTTTACGACGATTGATGTAGTTTCACGGTGAATCATGAGACCTAAAAGTGTATTAAGCCTTTTTTATTGTCATCAACTTTTATGTTAATTTTTTCTTAGTTTATAGATCAAAATGGAAGAAAGGATAAAAGATGTCAAAAGGAAAAAAGGAAAAAAAATCAAATACAAAAACTTGTTATAAAATTTTTTCAAAAGAAAAAGCCTGCGTGACCAAAGTTAATGGGATTTGTATTTATGATCAATCTTTGACAATTTAAAGATAACAAATTTATCAGATATGAATTTTTCAAGTGTTTAAATATAATATGATTTCATTATTTTTAAGTGTTTAGATATTAATTTTTTTCAACTTTGGCCTTTTAGATATTAGTTTTTTTAAAATTTTAGCCCATTTTCCCTTTATTCACATTTTGGTCCTTAAATTCAATTTTTTTTGAAAATAATACCCTAAATCTGCGAATAATGGTCGAGATACCATATTCTCCATTTTCCAGCAACAATATCGTTCACATTTAACATGTTTCCTTTTCAAAATAATAAGAAAAAAGGTTTAATAATATCTAGGTCAAAGTACTTGACAGACCCCTCTATTATATAGATTAATTTAAATTAGTCAGTATACTATTAAAAGATCAACCCGTCTCTATAAAAGGAAAAAAAATAATAATAAAATAAAACTAAATTTTAACCGTAACATGTATTGTTTAATAGAGTTTATATTTTATAAAATTTTATGATTTTGCAAATATTGTTTTTGTTTGAAATCCGACTACAAATAAAAATAATAAATTTTATGCCATTTTTAAACAATAAACACTAACTCTATTAAAAATTATTAGTTTTTATCCTTTAATTAATACAGAGATCAACTTAATTTATTTAATAATAAATGAATTGATTTCAATTGACGGATATAATAAAGTAATTAAATTGATCTATCTAATAACAGTATTTTATAGTGATTTTCATAATAAAAAAATATTATCGTTTAACCCTATTTCTAATGTCACTTTTTAACTCATCTTTGCGTCAATAAAACCATGATGTGTTTCGCCTCATAAGCCAATTAATGTACGAATTAATGGAACACTTTTCTTCAATTCATTTATAGTGGGAGTAGGGATGGACATAGATCCAAATCTGAATTTAATTCGATCCGATCCGATCGAGTCGAGTTTTTTTTTTTAAATTGAGTTCGGGTTGAATTTGGGTTTAGGGTGAAAAATACCCAATCTTACCCGACCCGGAAAAAATATAATTTTACCTTATATATTTAAGAATAATTACAATAATACCCTCTATATATTATTTTTCAATTAAATCACTGTTTTTTTTGAATAAAAATAATATTTTTTTATTATTTCGAGTCGGATTAGATCGAGTTTGAATTTTATCTAAAAAAATCGGGTCTGATTTGAATCAGATGAATGGTATATATTTTTCGAATTAAGTAAGATCGAATGAATGATTCAAAATTTCAGATCAGTCGAATTGATCCAAACTTGACCCATACTCATCCCTAAGCGGGAGGCAAGTTGATTTAACCTTGAAGGTTTCCCTCGGTGCCACTTTGGGAAATTAAAATATCTTACTTTTATCATTTTATAATATGATGTCATCACACTTGATTTTTAGTATTATCATTAGTATTCAATTAATTAATTTATGAATACAGTAAAAATTATTATAAAAATATTTTATCCAATTAAATAAAGGATTAATTATTTCATTTATACATGAAATATATCAAATTATTAGTTTCATACATAATATTTTAAAATTCTTAGTTTCATACATGGTGTGTTATGACGCTAACGGGTTCACCCACTTCCTTCATAAAAAGTGACGTGAAACTTTGTGATCACTAACAAAATGACACGTGACACTTTAATATATATATATATATATTTAAAACATAAAACTCATTTCCCTTATTTTTCACGTGGATTTTAAACTATTTCATTTTTTCTTCTAAATGCGTTCAGACCTCTGTTCATAAAAGAGAAGTTCCATGATTTGAGGTGAATTAGAGAGAAGTTTAGATTACCCATTTCGATTTCTTTCAAACTGGGAATTTCTCAAATATGAAAAATGTTTAATCTGAGCGAGGTTCTTCGTCTTAGCATTTGGTTTGAGGTAAATAACTATTATCTAAAATTTGAAAACACATTCAATTTTTTTGTGTATTCGTTCTTTTTTATTTGAATGAATATTAGTATTTAGGGTTTTTCAGCGATTTTAAATAGTAACAATGTTTTCGTTTTGCTAATATTTTTGTAACATTCTTTATCTTTTAGATTGATTTCAGATAGTGATTAATCTTGCTTTTAGAGATTCAATTTTGGTCTAGATTTGAGAAAAGTGACTGAAAAGCAGAGAATATTTTAAAAGTGTAAGTATTATTTTATTCATCTTTTTTTATATAGAAATGCTTAAAAATCATATATAATATTGAGTTAAATTTGTTTTATTTTTCATCATGCATGCTTCTTGTATATAATAGGCTTGAAGTGCAAAATAATTGTAGACAAAACATTAATTATTATACACATAGGTGACAAATTTGTTAAGAAACCCAAATCTAGAATATGTTG